GAAGTTGCAGGAGTTCTAACCTTCTGCTTTCTCATTATGAAGTGGGAGACATCTTCTGAAAGTGAGGGGAAAAATATAGGCTAGCTTGATGGGGGCTGAGAAGATTCCAGAGAATCACTGAGGACACAAAATGAACTAATCAGAAGCTTTGAATTTATTGTTGATTTGTTGGATACAAAGTACATTTGTGATGCTAGAGATTGAACCCAGGGCCTTGTGCATGCTAGGCAATTGTTCTGCCACTGAGCTGCAGTCCCAGAGTTTATTTTATTTAGGTATTTAAAGAGTATATTCCACAGATGTGTGCTGGGTCCAAATGTGAAGAGGTATCAGTGAGCACATGAAGTTTGCAGGCTTCGGTGTGAGTGAGTGGGCCTTGTGATTAGAAGGGCAGAGGTGGGCAGTAAGTGGGAACTCCCTGTGCTCTGCCCCGTACCCAGCAGATAAAGCAGAAGCAGGCTGGAGAGTTGATAGGGTTTACTCAGGATGCAGGGTCATATAACTGATAAACTGTAGAGCTGATTAGTTCCCAACTTCAGTCCTCTTGTGCCACATCTTTTAGTGGAGGAAGTGACAATTTATCGGGTTTTCCAACATTGTCCTTAAGCTTTATTGTTGTATGTAGTAAATGGTGATGCCATTGAGTCTTCATCAAAAGCCCATTAGAGCTGGGCACGGTGGCACACGCCTTTAGTCCCAGCTCTTGGGAGGCAGAGCCAGGTGGATCTCTGTGGGATCAAGGCCAGCGTGTTTTACATAGTGAGTGCTAGGCCACCTGGGGCTACAGGGAGACCTTGTTTCAAGAAGACCAAAAAAAAAAAAAAAAAAGTCATTAGAGGTGCCATCACTCTACTTTACAAATACCCTAAGATACAAGTAATTTGAGGCAAATCTTGCATTTGGTCACTAGAGAAACTGAAACTTGCTACTTTCAGATTTTCAAGTGGAGTGTTAAATGGGTACATATTGGAAATTAGGGGTGTATCAGAGACCTGACAAGAAGAATTCACAGCAGGTCTTCCAAGGACACACTGAATCATGAGACTTCTTAGAGAGGCATAACCAGGCTTATATCAAAGGATGGAGTGACAGAGCGGGAGCCTGGTGAAGGCTGGAGCTGTAGCCTGAGGGATAGACCACCTAATGGTCCTGGAGGGATGCCACAGTACTGAATGAGAAACAGCTTTGGAGCAGAGAGAGGGGGCAGAAGAGAAAGATTGGATCCCTCTCTATTCCTTCTCTTTATGTCCCATGAGTGATGGCTGCTATGCTGCTGTGGGGCTGAACCAGCCAGACATGGTCAGTGTTCTGGGGTACAGAGTAGATATGGGGGAGGGGTGCATGTGGAGAATAATCAGGGTACAATGCAAGGGTAGAGTTAATGGTCAGGATTGTAGTGACTGGAGTTTCTGAGACATAAGAGCAAATTAGGATGTTAGGACATTAAGAAAGGAAACTTAATAAAACTAAACAAGAAGATATATTGTGAGAAAATGTAATGCAATGTTGTGGATTCCTATGCAAGTTTTAAACAGTTTTTGTTTCAGTATATTTTTATAGTTGTTTTATTTCATTATTAGTTATTGTTAATTTCTTTCTTTTTTTTTTCTTTTGGTCTTTTTGAGACAGGGTCTCCCTGTAGCCCCTGCTGTCTTGGAACTCACTGTGTAAACCAGGATGGCCTTGAACTCACAGAGATTCACCTGCCTCTGCCTCCCAAGTGCTGGGATTAAAGGTGTGTACCACCATGCCCGCCTTTTAATTTCTTCATATCAGTAGGTATGCATAGGGAAAATATGGCAAATGTGGGGTTCAGGACTCTTGGAGCTTTCAGACATCTCGGGGGTCTTGGAACTTATTTCCTGAGGATAAGGAAGGACTATTGTATATGATATCATTTAAGGGGCTGGTGAGATGACTCAGAGGGTAAAGGTGCTTGCCGCCAAGTCTGACAACTGAATTTTTTTGTTGTTCTGGTTTTTATTATTACTATTATTATTATGTTATGTGTATGACTGTATTGCCTGTATGTATATAAGTGTACTCATGTCAAGCAATGCCACAGAGGTCAGAAGAGGGTGTTGGATCCCCTGGAACTGGAGTTAGGATGGTTGTTAGCTGCCATTTGGGTGCTGGGAATCAAACCTGGGACCTCTGCAAGAACAGCCAGTGCTCTTAACTGTTGAGTCATCTCTCCAGCCCATTGTTCTGGTTTTCTTGAGACAGGGTCTCCCTGTAGCCCCAGCTGGCCTGGAACTCACTATATAGACCAGACTGGCCTCCATCTCACAGAGATCTCCCTGCCTCCACCTCCTGAGTCCTGGGATTAGAGACATGCAGTACCACACCTGGCAGTGACAACCTGCATTTGATCCCCAGGACCTACACAGTAGAAAGAACTGGTTCCCAAAAGTTGCCCTCTGACCTCCACACATGTGCTGTGGCAAATATATGCCCTCCAACAGATACGAATGTAATAAAAAATTAATATCATTCAGATAATCTCTCTCTCTCTCTCTCTCTCTCTCTCTCTCTCTATCTCTCTCCCTCTCTCTCTTTCCCCCTCCCCCCTTCCTCCTCTCTCTCCCCATATTGTAGGCATGTGTCATCATGCACAGTTGTGCATTCATTTTCTTAACTACAGTACTTGAGACAATGGGTCTCTGCCAGTTTATAAAGTGCTTGTAGGCAAAGTCCTTGCCTTCATCTTCTTTCTGAATTAAAAAAAATTTTTATTTTTTGTTTTTATTTTTATGTGTATGTATGTATTGCCTGCATGTAGGTAAGTGCACCTCTGTCGTGTAATGCCCGAGGAAGTCAGAAGAGGTTTTCAGATCCCCTGGGACTGTAGTTACGGACAGTTTTTAGCTGCCATGTGAGTGCTGGGATTCGAACCCAGGTCTTCTGCAAGAACATCCAGTGTTCTTAACCGCTGAGCCATCTCTCCAGCCCCATTAGATAGACTATATTTAACTTTATTGGTAGAAGGTATTTATTTTTTTAAACTAGGTAGTCAGAGGTTGTCTATTTTATCATTTTTTTTTTGGTAGTGCTGTGAATTGAACTCAGGGCCATGTACATGGTGGGCAAGTGCTCTACCACAGAGCTACATTACATCCCTTGTTTTTTTGAAACAAGGCCGCACCATGTAACCCAGGCTGGCTGTGAACTCAGTACCCTCCTGCCTTAGCCTCCAAAGTACTGGGATTGCCATACATAGATAGCAGTGTTTCTTTACCGTTTAGAAATTTTACTATAACATATAATACAGTATAACATAAGCTATATATGTAATATAGAACATCTGACAGAGTACACTTTCTAAAGTATATTGAATTATTGAATGGGGGAAAAAAGAAGACAGAACCATAAGTGCTGCTTTTCATTTATTTTCATGGTACTGTGCATCAAACCCAGGGCATCACAGTTGCTAGGCAAGAGTTCCACTATAGAGCTGTACACTCAGGCCTGAGTGATACTCCTTCTATGAGCACTGAGCTCTTGTCATGCTACTCTCCTTCTTGTCTTTGTTTCTTGCTTGAACTTTATTTACTTAGTATATATTGATTGCATTGTATGAACAGTACCAGGGCATAACCATTCCTTAAACTATTCCTGCAAAATGTATTTCAAAGAATTATGAATTGCCACAACACTTCCAGTTACCTAACACAGAATATTACTTTCAAAAGATTTCAAGGTGGTGCATACCTTCAATCCCAGCACTTGGAAGGCAGAGACAGGCAGTTATTTGTGAGTTCAAGACCAGCCTGGTATACACAGTGCATTCTAGACCAACTGGGGGTTGCATAGCGAGACTCTGTCTCAAACCAGGAAAAAAAAAACCCAAACAATAAATCCATAGAATATGCATAGTAACCAGAAAACACTTGGAGATTATTAGATTTTATGCTAATTTTCAAATCTGACATTGTTCTAAAATTGTTTAAGAGCATAATGCTTTTTTTTGGCAAGTTAAAAATAGAATAACCAGCACACAATAATGGTTCATATAAAAAAGAAAAAAATTAAGAGATTTGGACAGGAGTAATCTTTTTCAGCTGAGACTTAAGAATAGATAGAGAGTTGAGCTGTGGGGTAGCATGGGGGAAGCTGTGCAGATGGTGGAATCAAGGCAGAGAAGATGTTGCCTGGCCAGCCAGGGTATGGTCCAGAAGGGGATTCTTGCAGCAGGGGCTGAGCTTAGTTGAAAAATCAGAATGAATCCATAGATTATAAGACAGAAGCAAGAGCATTATAGACTGGATGCTGAATCTACCTTTTAGTTTTTGCTTTTTTAAAAAATTTGTCTTTTTGAGACAGGGTCTCCCTGTAGCCCCAACTGGCCTGGAACTCACTATGTAGACCAGGCTGGCCTTGATCTCACAGAGATCCACCTGCCTCTGCCTCTTGAGTGCTGGGACTAAAGGCATGCACCACCACGCCTAGCTTAGGCTTTGCTTTTTAAAACACAGGTCTCATTATGTAGTCTAGGCTGGCTGGAACTCACCATTCTCCTGCCTCTACCTCCTGAGTGCAGGAATTACAGGCTTGGGTCCCATGGATAGCCATCTTAGCCTCTTTAAGTATGCAGTTCAATCATATACTGTGTATCACTGTTACCTAGCTTCTCATGTTCTACAGATGGAAGGTCTGTACTCCCTGCCCCTGGCAACCACTTTCTACTTTTTTGTCTTTATGGTTTTTGACTACTCCAAGTAACTCATATAAGAAGAATCATAGGTATTAGGTCTTTATGTTATTGGTTTATTTTACTAATACAGTGTCCTCAAGATTTATCTGTGTTGTAGCCTATTCAAAAATTTCCTTCCTTTTAAAGTGCATAATACTCTGGCTTTTCAGACTTTCCCACCAAGTTTTTTCTCTTATTATATATAATTGTCCCTCTATATCCTATATATAGCACAGTTGACATTATTTATATGATTATATATAATTCTTTTCATGGTGGAGATTTATAATTTGTTCTTAATTTGCAGCTTTTTTCAAGGAACAAACCTCCAAAGGGCCTGTATGTTTATGGAGATGTTGGTAAGTGTTAAAATAAGTCCTGGGTGGGTCAATCAGAAAGTTTTGCAGCTTTCACTCACAGATAACAACTTCCATTTCCATCTCTCAATCCAAAGTCATATTCCTAGCCTCTTGAGTGCTAGGACTACAGGCATACATTACCATGTCCTGCAATTATCTTTAATTAGTAGATATCCCTAAGGCATTAGTGGTAGTGTTTCCTTGGTCTCCTACTTCTATATATTGGGCAAAAGACTTGGTTCACTGGCTAATTGTGGTTTTTTTTTTTTTTTTTTTGAGACCTATGTCATCTTTTATTTATAGCAGATAGTTTGTTTTCTGTGCTTGCATGGTGGGTACTGTAGGTGGATCTCAGTCTGTGGCCAACTCCTGATCTTCCCAAGAGCATCTTCTTATACCTTCGTTTTCATGATCAATCACTGCAAAAATCACCTTCCTGGTTCTTCTTTAACCACTTGACTATAAATGGAAATGGTTAGTAAAGTATAACTGTAAACTTCTGCAGAAGGACTTGAAAAACAAGACCTGTGAAAGTTTCTCCCACAGTCTAAGTACTTGACTAGAGATACAATATGAGCAATTCATCTGAATTCTTGAAAAAACTAGCTAGGCATGATGGCATGTGCTTGTAATCCCAACAACACTCAGGAGGCTGAGGGAGGAGGATTGTGAGCTTGAGGCCAGCTTGGGCCACATAGTAAGACCTCAACAAACAAACAAACAAACAAACAAAAAAACAAACCCACCTCCAAACCAAAAAAACAAAAAGAAAAGTGAAAGCAAGAAAAGAAAGAAAGGGAAGATTACCGCAATAATACGGGATGTTTGATGTAGGCTGGGGCGTGCAATTGTTGGATACAAGTAAAAATACCTGGTTCCTAGTGGCCCCTTGCCACTTCTGTTCTTGCACTGGCTCATGGTCTGTGGTGCCACCCCACTGTACTTTTTTCTTCATAGGTAGACCCTACATCCAGGGACCCTCCCATGTGGTTGGTATTGGTGGGATTAACATATGGTTCAACCTTGATGAGAACTACTTTCATTAATAGTGTTCAACTCTTCATACACATAGCCTGAAAGCTTCAGGGGTCCAATTTTGTCATGTTTTGTGACTTCAACATGAATGTGGCTAGCTTTCTCACAAACTCTTGGCTAGCTAGCTGACTACAATGGTGATGGCTGGTTGGATTTAAAGTTAGAGCTGGGGATGTTGTTCTGCTGGTCTTGGAGTTGGTGAGGGAGAGCTTCCTGCTTCATCCCCTGACCAGTGAGGATCTCAGATTGTTCTCAAATAGTTATTTTGACTTCCCAATTCAGGGCTTGATGTCAGAATTTAAAGTTTTTGGTTTTACAAGTTAATCCTTTAATAGTCCTCTCTTGAGAAAATAGGTTTTATTTATGATTCTTTAGAGACTTAAAGCAAAACTGTAAGACTGATAGAATTTAGTTTAGTCTCCTTTCCTACTTTATTTCTCCCCATGTTTTTTCAATGTTTCTTGTTCAATTGACAAGAGTTTATTAAGAATCTGCTTTGCGCCAGGCAGCATGTTACTTTTGGAGATGTAATAATAAAGCTCGCTCAAAGCTTATCCCTAATTCCAGCTTGTCTCCATCTTCCTCAACTTTCAGGTCCCTGGAAACCACCATTCTCTTTTCTATCTGTGAGTTTAACTAATTTAGGTACATCGTAGAAGTGAAATCATCCAATATTTGTCCTTTGTGTCTGGCTTATTTTACTTAGCAAAATATCTTCAAAATACCTTTAAGCCGGGCGTGGTGGTGCATGCCTTTAATCCCAGCATTTGGGAGGCAGAGGCAGGTGGATCTCTGTGAGTTGAAGGCCAGCCTGGTCTACATAGTGAGTTTCAGGACAGCTGAGGCTACAGGGAGACCCTGTCTCAAAAATATAAAATATATGTATATATATATATATATATATTTAATTAATCTATGTTGTCCCATACACCAGAATTTTCTTCCTAGAAACTTTGCTTTCATGCTGTGCCTACTTTCAAATCAATATAGTTTAAACTTTATAAGCTATTAGTTTAAAAATATTTTTTTATGTCTATGAATATTTTGCCTGCATGTATGCATGCACACTGTGTATATCCTCTGGTGGCTGTGGAGGTCAGAAGAGAGGGTCAGATCCTCTGGAACTGGAGTTATGGATGGTTGTTAGCCACCATGTGGATGCTGGGAACTGAACCTGGGTCCTCTGCAAGAGCAGCCAGTGCTCTTAACCACTGAGCCATCTCTCCAAGCCCCTCTTTCTTCCTTTTTTTTAAAAAAAAATTATTTTATTTTATGTGTTATGAGTGTATTGCCTGCATGTATATAAGTGCACCCATGTTGTACAATGTCTGTGGAGGTTAGAAGAGGACATTGGATCCCCTGGAATTGGAGATGGTGTTAGAGTAGCAAATAGCTCCATAGATTAATGGGTCAAGACTATAAAATTTCTAGTCTATCTGTTGGAAGGTGCACATTTCCAATTTCACTGGTCAATCAGCTCATCATAGGACCACTCCTAGGAAGGCAGGTTCACCTTAAGTTATGCTAAATAGATGGGTGGAATACCTAGTGTGTTAGTTAGTGAATTGTTCCTGCCTGGAATCCTGCCTCCTAGCGCAGAGTTTCTGGACCCAGCAACAGACACATAGGTCTCTGTAAGTCTGCCTGCTTTTTTGAATACTTTGGAAAAGTGTAATCTAAACTTTTTCTTCTTCATATCCCTTTTCTAAACATGCTTTTTTGATGCTTTGGGCTGCCATAGAATCTTGAATTTCTTTACTTTTTCTCTAAAGCTTCCTTCTCCCAGCCATGTGGCTCCCAGTCAGCCATGTCTAACTTCATGGCTTTCTTTCCTTCTCCCCATCATTCTACCCCTCAGGACAGCTACTGAGATCACCAACTCCCCTGCCACGAGGATTTTCCTTCAAATTCTGAAAAAGTTGTACTAAAAGTTTCCGTTTGGGTCCATTCTTAAATTCTTTTATGAATGAGACTAAGAACCCTCTAGAGGACGCTCTTTCTCCCCATTTCATTGGAATGGTTGTTAACTGCCATGTGGGTTCTGGGAACTGAACCTGGATCCTCTGCAAGAGTAACCAGTGCTCTTAACCACTGAGCCATCTCTCCAGTCCTTTCTTTTTAAATCTGAATAATACTATGCTATATGTGCATACCACATGTTATCTATGTGTGGATAGCTGTTGGATATCCAGTATCCATCAATGGGTGTTTTGGGCCATTCTGATTTTTAGTTATTGTAAATA